TAATATTTAAATAACTTAATTTAATCACTCTTAGTATCATAATTTTATGATTACGCTTATCTATGTTTCTAACTTTTTATATATATATTTTTTTTTCTCTATGAAAAGTTCATTCGATTTATTTATATTCACATATAAAACATTTGTTAAAATCAGTTCATGAACATAAGTTCCTGAAAATTCCTTAAAACTGAAATTGATAATCATTTGATATCACACAACTTTATTCAAATAGTATAAACTTATTTCTGACTAACCTCAGGGAAGGGCCCACGATAATGTTGTTAGAACTTTTGGCCCAACCCTTTTGTATGTTCACTTGATTATGTCTGTAAAATTATGAAATTGTATATTGTGTGTATATTTATACAATAAAATATTATTAGACTAAACATATTTAAGCGAAGTACCGGTACCTAGTGTATTCACTTAGTTGCTACGGGAGCGCAGTCGAGTCAGTATTGAAGAAACTTGATTTCCCAGCACCAACCGGACCGAGAGAACAAAGTATGTTATGCAGCTCATTTTTCAGTGCCAGAGTCCATTAGTCCGTGGGATTTCGAAGATAGAAACTCAGCAAACACATGCATTCCAGATCTTCATTTCTTCAGATATCCCCTCCTCGGCGTTAATTTTTCCTGATTGGGAAGGCAGATATTAAAAAAACTGATAACATGATATAATACTTATTAAAGACAAAAGATACAAAGGCAGATTGTGTATTAATATTATATTTATTAAAAGATTTTTAATGTTCTAAGGTCATTATACATGTCTTAGACAAAGAATGAGAGGTAAATGATGGTTTGCAAAGCAACTAAAAATGTACCTGATGCTCCCAACCTCCGAGCTCTCTCCAGGATGGTACTAACGATATATCTGTGTAATTAAAAACTACATGTCTATTACTTTTTTCAGATGAAAAATTAACTAGTTATAAAAAGAATAATCTATTATATATTATCAAAAGAAGTCAACGATATTATTTGCATAATTGTTGGGAATATCTTATAATTGGATGACACTTTATGATACGCAAATTATGATAAATTTAGATACAAGATTACCTTTTAAGAAAACGCAAAATTTGATAAAAATGAAATATGTATTTATATACTAGAATTAATTAAAGTCATCATCTATAGCATCGTTTGATCGGACACTTACCAGACACGCTGTAAACCTCTAAGTCTGTGACTGTTTTGCTGTTGTTACAAAACTGCTCTATAGAACATGAACCCATGTCATAGGCACTGCCAAAATTAAATCCTCCGTTTAAAGTGAAATGACTGCTTTGCATTGAAAGGGTTGAAGAAAAGGTACTCACATCATACCCTTCTCCAAAGATCGGCCCATTTGTATTTGAACAGTAAATGGCATTATCTGGCTTTTTAATAGGAAATTTCATTGGACTATTTTTGCCATTTTCATGAAGCCGAAACAGAAAAGCATGTTTATCCCTATAATATTTACTGCCCTCTGAAGTCCAACTTATCTCTGTGTATAGCCTCCGTACACTTTTCCTTGAGTGTTATAAATGACAGTAACTGTTGGGCCTTGTTTGTCGCAAAGTTGATGGAAAACTGATACATCTGCACCATCCCTTGTGAAGCTGTATATCAAACTAAACTGTTTTGGACCCGCTTGTATATAACGTTGTAGTTCCTTTTTTTTCAGCAATTGAAAGTTTCCCTACCATTTTTTTTCTGCAAAGTAAATAAAATCATACATTTCTTCCGAATAAAATGATACTGTACAAATAATAGCAGAAATAAAATTCCAAGTGAATAAATGTCACTTATATCATATTGATATAATTCACACGTTGCTGTAACAATATGACTATATGACTTATACATCCTTTATAAAATTTAACACATTTTAAAGAAATCAAGATTAAGGTACCCGCTATAAAAAGAGAGAGAAAACTCATTGGCATAACAAAATGGAAACGGTTAAGTCAGCCATATGTCCACAGTCTATGTTAGCTAGCACCGGGAAAGGCAGAACTCTTTTCTCTTTTACATTATATTCAGAATAATTAATAATTGGAAATTCCACGAGACAATGTTATTTCATTGGGCGAGAAGCGGCGTATAATGTCGAGTAGTCCCATCACAAGCCCACAAAATTGAATCATAATACTCTATTGTATTTTCTTATTAACTAACAATACGATTTTTTCATTACAATTCGGGTTTGTTTTTGCAGGAATATCGTACGGACAGATCAATGTCTGTTTCACACATACTTTTTATTTCATTTAAAAGCAGATGCTTTTAAGCCTAACATAGTATATACAAATTTAACATCACAGCTAAATTAGAAAATATACTTTATATTGCCATACATATTGACCCGCCCTTAAACCCGGCGTTTCACACGAACAAATAAACATTGATTGTGTCAAATTGCATTTTTTGAAACAATCCATATAAAATAGGGAGATAAATATCAAGTATTAAACACACGTGTCTTATTTGCAAGGTTTGTGAATAATCTTTAGCGAGTCGCACTAGATGATTTAGGTTATTATGCACAACCAACACTTTCAAGTACCATTGAAGGATTGACACGTTTCGATACGAGCAGAGCGTATTTTGTTTTTGCGTAAGTTGAGTTATTTAAACATCCGCCCCCATTGATAATAGTGAATTATAACTGACGTTGCTGTCAAATCTACAAGATACTTACATTTGTATAATATATTTAAAAACTGCAGACGATAGGATAACCTCAATTCGTGAAAGAAATATGCTAATTATTTACTTTGTTATATAATCTGTTGATAGCATTTATTGATAAAAAATGACCCTTGATAATATTTCAGATTTGTTTATTTGGTAGTGTACATTGCAGCAAAGAAGATAAAAAACATTGACAGTTGTGACCGTAAAAAATATTTGAAATTACCTAATTTAACCCAGTATCATTTTTTGAACATAATAAGATTTGTCCAGATAATCATTTCCCATGAATAATTTCCTGATATTAAAAAAGTAATAAACATGTAATTGTGCGGAATTCATATGGACATGTGTAAACACAAATTTGAATAATGAATTTAATAGAAAGTTGTTTTTTGTTTTTTTTTATTTATTTGTTGTTGTTTAAATTACTTTTCTTCTTGTTTTTTTACTGAGGAAAGTGGATTTTGTAATATCACAATATTGTGTAAGTTTAAGTGAATGTGGACATTTGAGTGAGGTTGAGTAAAATATACATATTAAGTATTAAATATCTAATATCGGTAGTGTATGTTTAATTTAAAAATAGTAAAAAAGGATAGGGAAATCAAAAAGTAACCGGACGTTTACTTAGCAACACTACAATGCATTAATTTGCCTACCTGTTGTTCAATCCCTCACGATATGTAAAGCAAACTTTATAGTTTTCTGAAAATGGTGATACACATGATGTTTAAAGAACGTGATAATCACTGGTAATCCCGGTCAAAGGCGGCTATTATTTCCCTTAAATTCATGTAAATGTCGAATGGTCCTGTAAGCTTTGGACGGTTAGCGCTGAATTACATCTGGCATTTAAATTTTATTTCATATTCGTTCGTCAATATCCACAACCTTTTATTTTAATAATAAATTCATCTCGCATTCATTTTAATCTTCGGTACAAGACTCATTCACTTGAATTTATGTCCTATTATTACATAAAAACAACTCTTGTAACTTTTCTTCTTAGTTTGTTCATATTCATCATACACATTATATTATGACTTCATCTCAGATGCATCAGCACGTGCTTTTGTGAAGATTGAGTATATGAAATAATTTGTATAAACAAATGTCTTTACGTCTTTTTTTATGATTTGGATGTTTGGCTTTGAACATGCTTTCATTTTGATTATTTTCCATTCGCCACGAGTGTTTTAACATGTGAAAAGTTTCTTACTATTGCCATATGTATAAAACTTACAAAATATAAAAAAAATGTTCAGTACAGGACCGCCACTATATAAGAAAAATATTTCCCAAACCCCGTAGGCTAAGATGTTGTGTCGAGATGGTTTTCTTAGCATCTCTATTTGGCTTGAAAGAGAGTTTATCAGTAAATATGCATCATTGAACACGTTGGTATGAGTCCAAACAACAGAGACCACAGAGGAATAAGTCAAATTGCTGAAATGGACAAGAAAGGGTAATTGCATACATTTTTTTACGAAAACTGATGTTATCGTATGTTACATTTCAAACTAATGCATTAACCACCAGTATATGCATGTCGTTCTGAAGATTGATGTTGGTTGCAAAACTCTAACAAATACTTTTCGAACTTCACAAATGGCCATTTACTCAGTCCAAATCTATATTAATTAAGATTCATGAGGTTATGAGTGACCTCCAATTATGATCTGAAAACATATACATTTGTTTGATTTTTTTTGTTTCAAATTAATGCTTTCAGTTGTTGTTTGATTTGATGTTACATACTAAGCCTTCACTAAAGGCTATTAATTAGTCAACATCAGTGCAATGTAATGGTCCTTGGATAGTGATCATTATTTATGGTCACGAAACATGTTTTATGATAGAAGTTAATTCCTGCAGTATGTTCACAAAGGGTCACTATTCAGTAAAACTCATGTAAGAGTATAAGGTTTTGGATAAATTTTGTATAGAAAGGTGACATAAATATGATCCCGAAAACATGTTTTTAGTTCGAAGTGAATACATTCAGTATAAATGATCATTTATCTTCAATTTTATTACATGGATAAGTTTTAGAAGGATGTTTTTGTTTACAAATGGGTAATAATTCTGTTAAAACCATGCTAGAGTTATTGGTTTTGGATATCCTATTAAAGACGAGCAAATATTTTAGAGGTTCATGAAATATGATGATGTTCAAGATGTTACACTCAAGTTTTTAACCAAATTGATATGAAAACGCGGACACTGACACAAGAGGAGACTCGGATATCACCACTATTCTTCGAACAGCTGGCCTAAAAAAACATCAGGCCCCAGTCGTTTTAAAAAAATGACATAACACCTTGCAATATTCTTAATTGTATTTGTTCAATTTTTCCTCATACATGATATTTTATGAAAAATTTTCCTCAAGAATCAGGGGCATTTAGGTCAAACAGAAGAGATATTTAGAATAAATGTTGAGGAACAGTCTACACATAAATACTATGCAGAATATAAAACAGAATTAGAACAGTCAGGTGCAAGAATTGTTAAGGGTGAAAAAAGTCTTAACAATCTTATAATTGGACTAGTCTGTTTAGTATGGAAAAATCATATAAACAATGGTCAACTCAATTTAATTTCGTCATTTAAATGTTTAATGGACACATGTCTCAGTGTAATAGTTGAACAGTACTAGTCCGTCGAAAAAAACGCACACTATATTTTGTATTACAACGATTCATTAGTTCATACAAATAGAACTTAGTTCTCGAGTCAGTTTTTATTTGTATTTGTGAACGTCAACTTTTGTATGATAACTTGTAAACTGTTCAGATACATAATCCGAATTTATTATGACGTATTTTAATAACATTTACTTACATTAACATTACTTACTTACAACATGTACAAGAGCAGTTGCTGCCTTAACAAAAGCCACATAATGTCGTCCTGACCGAAGAAATCAGATAACCAATAAGCAGTACTCAGTTGTAATCTCTTTTAATTTTAAGAATATATTGTAAACATATTGTAAATTATATAAACCATATTTTAAAGGTATAAGCTTTCTACAAAAATAATTAAGAATGTTAGTTATGGAATTGTCCACTGATTAATTGAGAGTGCTAACAAAATGTCATGATAACATCTGTAAATTTTATGATAATAAGTTATGTTTGCTTTGCAAAAATAACATTTATTCCAAAGATTCTGAATCACCCCTCTCGTCGTCCTATCTATCAAGAAGGTTAAACATGAAATCTTCAGATGCCCGAAGAATTTGTCGAAGTGAATAAAGCGCTAGTAAACTTATATCATCCCTCACATTGATTTCCTTTTCATAGTTTTTAACTGGTAACACATGATTCCTTGGTACACCAAAGATGTTAGAAACCGTATCAACAAGCTCCTGAATTGCAACGCTCTGAAATACTGTGGACACATCTTCCTCTACATTAGAGCAAACTTTGTCAATTTTAGTTACTAGGACTACTTGTGACAAACCTACAGTAAGCAATAACAAAAGCATGGTTATTAAATTTCATCAAAATACATTTACTAAATGAGAAGTTTAAATATTAAGAATGAAATCTCTACGAGAAATTTATATATAAAATGAAAAACTTTTCACAATTGTAAAACAAAGTATGATTCTGTCATTAAAATCAAAATATTATTTGCATGTATTTCATAAAAAAATAAAAAAAAACAACAACAAAAGCAAAGGTGAGACTTTACAGACTCTGATGATCATTATACTATGATAATGATTAACAGATAACAGGCACTTATTAAATGTATCTCGCTCAAACTTGGTTACACTGTATCAAACATTTATTGAACCCGTTATATCATACCCTTTTGACGAACTGTACTCTGAAGGGCTTTGATCTTTTCTAACATTTTCTCTGACATTACTGATGCTGTGCTACCATCTATTATGAAGCAAACACAATGAATTTTGTGGTTCAATGTCGGTGAGGCGACAAATCCAGTTGTGTCGGGAGAAATCGGGGTTGATGGGTTAAACTGAAATAAATGAATGTTGATAAATCAAATCAACACGAACCATTATATTACAAATAGTACAAACATCATGTTAATGAACGGGTTATCCTCAAAATAGATAGATCTACATTTGATATGTTGCTGAGGTAATATGTGCGTTCTTAGAAATCAATAAATTTGTTAAAGCAAAAATAAAATATTTAACAGGCATCGTGTTTTTTAATTTTAACCAGAGTCTTAGCAGCATGAGTGCGCCTATATATTTGTACATACACTCATGTATATGAATAAAAGTTATCCAGCCTGGTATTCATTTGGAACATTTCCCTCCAAAATGTAATTAAGCTCTGTGCCATCAATGCCTTGATTTTCTTCAATCCCTCTTGTGTCACACAGCCTAAATTTCATTGGTTTTGTCAGAGCGGAACCTCGCACACGATACATATGGTACTGTTAATAAATAAGTACCAAGGATATTAAATTTTACCAAGTCAAAGATATTGCACATATAATAGCCGATAACGCTGACACAATTTTAACCTTTTAAGCGTATTATGGTTGTAATGCTTTAAAAGATTTCATGTGAAAAAGTATGGCATATATATGAACAAATTGAAGTTTTAAATTACCGGAATTGCTATAATATCTTCTCATGTAAAAACTTTTCATTTCAACTTATCTAGATAAATAATATTTTAACAGTTGTGGGTAGTACGGTATACCTTTGATGTGATACTCTGTTCTGCGCTACCGCAAACAGCCTGTCCTGTCACATGACCTCGAAAGATTGAGGAAATTGTATTGAAGAAACTTGATTTCCCAGCACCAACCGGACCGAGGAAGAGAATGTTTGCTGTGGTCAGATTAATTCTACGCGGTGGAGACCAGGCATTGATTTCGTTCTTCAAACGTTCTAAATCCTGTATGAAAAGATCAACTTTAAACATATGTCAAATGCAAAGTACTAAATTATTTCAAAGTAAAAGATAGAAATGCAGATAATTGGTCAGAATAAACATAAATCTTTTACTTAACAATGGCAAATGGTACATTTGTTATTTGAAATACATACTACTGTATGGTGTAGCAATAAACATAACTTCAATCGCGTAATAACTGAATATGATTTGAAAAAATTATTGAAGCGTATTTTCATAGACGATGTTACATACGAATGCTCTCTTGCCATTTCATCGATATTCAGTTTTGTATAGTAGTATCTTTCACTTGATGTCCATATAACCTCAGTACAGTATTATATAATGTATACCGAAAAAAGGAAATTAATTTGGCTTATGCGTGTGGGTATTCCCGCAAATTTGTTATAAGGACTATTATTTATGAGACTTCAGCGAACAACAGGTTTTATAATACTGTTAGACCTGTTCGCTAAAGCCAATCCGTATCGAAAGTCACACAGGCTTGTGACATATTTATGTAATGCTATAAATTAATAAATTTGCCTTATTTAGACAAAACCTAAACGCGTATGGGTACTTTAATATAGTTTGCACTCTTCAGTTTAAGTTTTGTAACAAAATAGGTTTAATCAACGGTATTATACCTTAAAGTTTATCAGCGCGTTAATACATGTATTTCATTAAAATTTGCAGCCATTGCTGTCGTATCACGTGAATTATGAGCCTTTATGTTCGGATACGTCTGATGTCCTTTAGTTACCCGTTTTCAATTGTATAGTGCATTACTAAAAGTGTATGGGCCGTTACTAAAAATAGATGCATGTACTAGAAATCCCAAAATTCGAAGAACAATAAAGGACAAAATTGATTTGTTTATCAAATGGTATAATTTTTTTGACCACATTTTGATTAATAAGGGAGTTTTTATAGTTATTTATATACTGTTCACAAACTTTCAATATTCTGGAAGTCTTTGCAAATGGGGTTCACCTTAACGATCGCACAACGTCGAAATTAAAAGCGACATTTAAAGTTATGGAAGCCAGAACTAATTTTACTCAGGCCATCATCTATGTCTCAGACAAAAATATAACCCAAAGATTTTACCTGACGTTCCCAATATCCGATCTCTCTCCAGGGTGGTTGTGGTATATCTGCAATAAAAACAGCATGGGAACTTATGTTCTATAAGGAATTCACTATTAATATATTTATATATAACTATGCCTTTGATGAAATATTTCCATAATAAGTGAGAATAACTTATATTGTGACTGTTTGCAAGTTCCTGTACGAAATTTTCTGCACGGAAATGAGGCGGAATTCAATGGCAGATTCCGCCCAGAAATTTAAATTCTCCCCTAAATATACAAGTGTTAAACCATTTGCTTTTGGCACGGATTCCGGCCGGATTCCAGGCGGAAACGGGACGGATTCTGGGCGGAATTGGGACGAAATATGCAAATGAGTTGGGGCGGAATTTTGAAGCGGAATCTTGGGGCGGAATTTTGAAGCGGAATCTCCGGGCGGAATTTTGAAGCGGAATCTCAGGGCGGAATTTCGGAACGGAATTTTGGAACGGAATTGTCAAACAAAATTCTGGGCGGAATTCTGGGACAGAATTCATGGGGGCGGAATTTATAGGAGTTTAACATGATCACATTTTTTTGGGATAAAATTATCAATAATGTATCACATTAAATTTTCTTTCACAAAATTTAATACATATCCTTTAGTCCAAATACAGAATAGAATACCATACATTCACTATAACACAAACAGTTTTTTTTCTACCTGGAGGTTTTGGTAGATCTACTGGTTTTCTTAGAATCCAACACTTTGTTTTTTTGCAATTTTTTTGCTGAGAGTGTTTCAATCATAAATTTGTTTCAAATGTTTCTGATTATTTAAATTACTATTTCTTAAATTGATGTCTGTTTTAAGTCCACTGCCTAACTTCTTGTGGTTTTGCTCACCTTTAATAATAAAATTAATAATTAATTAAACAAAAATGCAGTAATGAATTATGTTTGATTGCATAATTATATGCAGTTATATTTCATATTTTTTGATAATATCAAATTTTATGTTTCAACAGTATTAAATATTAACAGTGCTTATGCATATTCAAAAATACTAAAGCATACGCAGTATCTTATTTCAGTGCACAAGTGTTTAAGAATTGCTATGTATAAGAATTAATTAACTGCTTTATTTGTGACACTATTTATTACTGGTTATGTATTTTTTCAAGGAAAGATGTTGAATAGTAAAGTATTGAGATTTAAAAATATACCTTTTCGGGATTAATACTGCACATCTTTATTGAAACACCTTGCATCTCACAGTCAGCACTTAACTCCCAGCCTGAAAATATAAGTGTAAAATGTAATTTTAGATTGTTCCATTGGAAACACAACACATACATGTTAAATAATAAATGATTATGATGACCCTGTTCAGCTGTACAAAACTTCTGAATTTGTACCATTTATTCCTATTAAATCAAATTGACTTAATTTGTTTAATTTCCAGGAAATGAAAAAGATCTACTACATGCTATTAATTCATACAATACACACAATCATTATATAGAATCATTGAATAACTTATATTTTACAGTCATTAAACATGTAATAAAGATTTAAAACAATTATCAGAAAAAAACAAATGTATGAAGAACTTGAAAATATAAAAACAACACTGACCTCTTGTTACAAATTTTAGCTTGCTACCATTGATAGTAGTTTGTTCAGCATTAATGTAACTAAAGGTTTATAATTACCTGCTTATGTTGTTCATCTCTTTGTCCCATGTTTTCACACTTATTTATCATACCAATACTAAAACACTTTGAGATCTTAAACAAAAGTATATCTCCAAAATTGTTAAAATATCAAGTACATCCTCTGTTATTTGCACTCTTCTTGCTGACCCAGATATCTTAGAATTCAAAATTCACAACTGTATAACTGCATGGACAGGTCAATCATTATGTAAAACAGGGTTAATTTACTCATCATCTCAACCTCCATTCATTGAATGTAATAAAAATTCAAGTAACAAATAGATATATATATAGAATTTAAAAATCATTACAAATTTCTGAACAAAAAAAAATTGCAATGTCCTAGACAAATTCTGCATATGAAATTTATAATGTTATCTCTCCCCAAAATAATTCAATGGAACAGCCTTATCTGTTGGAATGACCAGTGGAGTAAATTAGTCATGCAAAGAATTTAAGATGGTGGGAAACTGCTGGTCAGTTGTGTTTTATCAGAGCTCTGATCTGTGTAGTGTAAAATCTCAGTGGATATATATTGTAGTATTTATTTACCTAAATGAAAGCAATTATTGGGCATATTGGCTGATCAATTCTATATAGATTAAAAGGACATACTATATGAGATTATTTCATGCAATGTTTTTGTTTTGTTTTTGTTTATTTTTTTATAACAAAATCATGATTTCTTAGAGTTTAAAATGGCAAGCACACTATCTTGTCCTGTGGCTGTCCTGATATTCAAATTTAAACAGCATTCTTATTTCAATGTTGCTTTTTATAAACTGTTATTACAGTTGTTTTTCAGTACAAAAAAGATTTGCTAAATTAGTCTAGCTGACAATATATCATTTGCCACAATATTTAAAAACATTGTTTAGGCATATTTTAATGTCTAAAAAATAACCCTATTTATTCTAAAAATACACCTGTAATTATTGGTCAAGTATCATGCTTCTACAAAAATAATAAGTACAGTTGGTAAAATTTCAATGTCTGCAAGTGCAAAAACAAGAGTTAACAATTATAATTTAAACATCTTATATGTGAAATTCTGTTCAAGAAAAAAGTTTAAGTATAGAATTCCGCCCATAGTGAATACCATTCCTTCCCAAGAAAATTTCAAAGTTGAAAATTCTGTCCAAGATGAAATGTTTAAGTATAAATTCTGCTCCAAATAAAATTCCAGCCGCAATTTTTCTAGTTTTCCGCCCAGAAAAGTGAACAAAATATTTTTCTCTTGAGACGGAATGACACGGAATTTGCGTTTCCGTTCCTGGTCCGCCCAGAAATCACTGATTCCGTGTCAATTCCGTGCCAATTCCGCCCAGAATCCGTGCCAAAATTTCGTACAGGCTATGCTTAATTTGGGTACTATATACTATTTCTACTTGAGGCATTTCTAAATTACACGAATGGATTACTTACCAGATACACTGTATACTTCAAAATTTATGACTGTTTTGGTGTTGTTGCAAAACTGCTCAATAGAACATGGACCCATGTCAAAGGTACTGTCAAGTGAAAAAGATCCATTTAAAGTGTATTGTTTGTTTTGAATAGTAAGGGTTCCACTAAAGGTTTTCATGTCATGTCCTCCTTCAAATATCGGTCCATTGCTGTTAATGCAGTAAATGGCCTTTTCTGGCATTTTCACTGGAAATTTCATCGGATTATTTTTGCCATTTCGGTATAGCTGAAACAGAAAAGCATGATCATCTCTATAGTATTTCCCGTCCTCTGAAGTCCAACTTATCTCTGTGTAGCCTCCGTACACTGTACCTTGAGTGTTATAAATGACAGTAACTGTTGGGCCTTGTTTGTCGCAAAGTCGATGAAAGGTTGATGAATCTGCACCATCAATAGTAAAGCTGTATAACAAACTAATCTGTTTTGGGCCTCCTTGTATATAACGCTCTAGTTGTTTTTTGTCATGAATTGAAATAGTTCCTGCCATTTTCCCTACAAGACAGATATCATGTAGTGACCAATGAAATTGCACAATCTTACAAAACAGAATTCAAGGTGAACAGATAACACTCTTATAGTTTCGCAAATACCTTTTGCTGATATAACTCACGTGTCGTTATAATAATTATATGGGCATACTTTGTAAAATCACATCCTGAAAGAGATTAAGATTAACATTTGTATTGGTATCAGCCATCGAGCAAGCATACTTTCTTAACAGCAATTCAGTAAAATGTACAAAATAGAAATTTGAAAGCCTAAAAGCTCACCAGTTGTCAATGGTATTAAAGTTTGTTGCCGTCCATAACTCTGTACTCAGTAAAACAGTATATAAAGAATGATTGGCAATTATCCAGACCGTCAGCTAGTTATAAGTCGAACAATGATTTTTTGGTTAAAACCTATATGACCTTGATCTTTTAGCTATTTACTTCACAATTTATAGTGACATCTCCTAGTCAGAAAAAAACAGCTACGCTAATCTTAAGACTGTTGACAAAGCTTTCCAAACGTTCCAAATTTATTGGCCGGAAAAGGGTTTAGTGGTGACCTTCCCTTTTGAGCATTTTACATCAAAACCAAAAGAGGCCATTGACTGTCCATTTGCAATATCTTTACCAAATAACATTAACTATGGCTGCTGACCTCTCAAGTTATTGAATGGACAAGGACGCGTTAACGAACATACGGACGGACTGAGTCCACTTTTAAGTGGGTGTAATAAAACATAAACATGCGTGTCCTTATCAAGGTAAAAGTATTTACTTAAATCGACTTCTTGTTATCTAAACCTCTCCATTTATGTTAGCGTTTAAATTGCTGCCATTTCAGATAAATTTACAATACACTCTGATTAACGTATTTGAACATTCTAAACACCGAACAGGATAGAAAAACAACAAATTGTGAGAGAAATATTTGCCTTTTAATATATTGTGTCTGTTATCTCAAATTTGTAACAGTGTTTATACCATTTACTGATAAACATATGTAATAGAGTCGACATGCAGACATATCATTATCAGTTCATCATCCTTGATAATATTAGATATTTTGTATATTTTGCTATGTACATTGCAGAAAAGTAGAAAACAAAACTTTGGAATTCATTAATTTACCTATCAATCTTGGAACATAATTAGATCTGTTCAGTTTATTATCATGGATAATTTCCTGATATTGTAAATGTTAATAATAACTTTATGTAGCAGAATTCATTTGCGCATGAGTAAACATAAATTTTAATAGTTTTGATGTAAATGATTTTGATGTACGTCGTTTTTGTATTTGTTTCTTTTTCTGTAACCTAGATTTTCCACAACGTTTAACATGTTTAAGTCATTGTGTACATTTGAATACGACTGGTTTTAATATACATATCAAATAGATGGTCAGGACAATAAAAAAATAACCGGACCTTTACGTAGCAACAGTAAAATAAAATAAATTGCTTACCTTTTGACAATCCCTCACGATTTGTAAAGCAAACATTAAATTTTCTGAAAATGGTGATATATGTGTGGTTTACATAACGTGATAATCACAGGTAAACCTGGTCAAAGGCGTCTATAATTTTTCCTGTTAAACATGTAAATGTCATATGATCGTGTCGGTTAGCGCCGAATGAAATCTGAAGTAGAATTACGGTAACTTCATTTCATATTTTTTCGTCTACGTCCAAATCCTGTTATTATCACTATCAATTTAATTCGTCTCGCATTCATTTTAATATTGGGTACAATTACCTTGTCTCTTTAATTTATGTTTTGCATTAAGTTCGATTGTTTCGCAAACCTATTCGGTGCATTTTCACGACAAAGAACCATACCTACGGCCAAACACCCATGCTGTTTCTTTCATGTCTAATATTTATGGGGTTTTGTAATAAAGTCAATGTGCTTTCAAAAATCTGGAAACAAAGCGATCCCTCGGAAGCATTAATCACAACAAAATTACATAAGAATTGCAGACTCGGTTTGATTGAGTCTGTACATGAAGAATAATGAATAAGTGCAACATCCCTCACGCCCCCTAGCACCAAGTTGGTAATGAGCACATACTTAAATACGAAAGAAAATAATCGTCAATTGATGAAACAATTACCGACATATTTTATGAAACGGACAGCTTGAAACTACAATTTCAATCACAAAAGTTAAAGAAAAATGTATTTGACTGTAAGAAATGGCTTTATTTTAAATAAAAATGACAATTTTGTAGCGATTCTTTTGTATATTACTTTATAAAAAACTACCTCCTTTGTCAATATTTATTCACACAGACACACACGCATGGGCGTACACAGGAACACATACCCACACACGCACACAAACAATACGCCTTGCCTGTGTCAAACTGCATGTATTCAAAGAAAAACAAATATGAACTTACAGCTGTACACAGTTCATTGTTCGATGTTGAACATGTCGGATTTACTATGCATGCATTTCCTGACGCAAGCAAGTTCATGGACATTCGTCTATTTAAAAGTCGGAATTTGATACATGTGTAAATCTGATCTGCCATTGTATACACACCCGTCTCTCAAATATCGACCTGTTTCGTACGACGCATTACTCACCCCAATGAGGGTAAAATGAATCCGACATAAAGAGGTCCGCATAGGGATGAAGTTTTTATTTTATAAAACTCAATATATCTTTTCAAGTGATTTAACTTGTTTATTGCTTCCAAGGGATCACTGTTTTTCAGATTTTAATATTGCAAGTGCAATTGATAGTTCGACCGACTGTGTAACTATATATTCAAATATTCAAAACTACTTTCACATTCGGTTTTAAACTAACAATGGACGAAAAACTATCACGCGTGTTCGAGCCGCAATGTTAAAAGTAGTGCGTTCCAATCATGTTAGAGCGTTTTCACAGAGGTCAGTTAGACTGGTGTACACAATGTCTGATCTGCTTAAAATGTATGCGTAGATCCCTGACCTGTCTAATGCTAATTATTAAATTAGTGAACACAATAGCAATTTTACCACAACCGACTTGTTAAAAAAAGAGCACATGTCAAAATGTGTGATTAAATTGTTGTTCAAATAAAAGGCCAGAGTAGAGACCTATCAATTATTAATAATCTGTATCTTATTACAAGATTGTGTATGGTCCTGAGTGAGTTTCACTTGGTGGAATTAAGTAATTCAGTTTCAGTTCTTTCTGTAACAAAAGAGCCATGAACGCCCTTAATCGCTTATCAATTTAACAATTTTTGGGGGTTGTTTGTTTTTATAGACTTTTTCTTTTTCGCTCTGAAATTTATTTTGTTTAGAAGACCGGACAATTTAAATTTTCAGCAATTTGTATAGAAAACTATCCCAGGATTATTCTTGAATAATAGTTTCATCAAAATCTACCCGATAAATAAGGAGATATGGATACAGATTTGTTTTCTATTTATAAACCTGGCAGCCATTTTATTCAGCACAACGGTACAATTTAACCAACTTTAATAGGGCCTGCCCAAAGATCATTTCGGTAGAGTTTTATCACAATCTATTAATCGGTTCAGGACAAGATATTAAAGTTGCACAAGCCTGAATTCTTTCTATTTCATTATTTTCCATTTTGCTAACACGTATTAACACGGGTCAATTTTCTCATGTTCATGGAAAAAAGAACAAAGTACTCAAATCAATTTTAATTTGTATTCGTATGCTTAAGCGTACAATAACATGTAAACTGTTTTTGAAAATTATCCAACAATATCTTATTTTACTAGCATTTACTTACTTAAATTAATATGACTTGCTTTTTAATACACAGAAAATACCATACACTCAACCATTCAAAATTTTGCATTTGTCATTTAAAATATATTAAATGACTTGTATCCATGACAAAATATAAATGATGTAGAATATATGGAATATAATATTGGCTGGGTTTAAAATGAAAAAAGCAGTTGGTGCATACAAAAGAAACCAGAAAACTAATTTAGTAATTAGCATTACCCTTATACAACATCTTTTATATATGAGAATATATGGTAGACATATTGCACTATAAACAGTATACTAAAGTTATAAGCTGTCTTCAAGAATGATTAAGAACATCAATAATGTAATTGGCCATGATCAACTGATCAGTGCTAACAAAAAGTCATGATAATATGTGTCAGGAATTGATTGATATACGAGTATGTTTGCCTTGCTGAAATATCATTTATTCCAAAGATTCTGAATCACCCCTTTCGTCGTCCAGCATATCAAGAAGGTTGAACATGAAATCTTCAGATGCCCGGAGAATCTGTCGCAGTGAATGAAGCGCTAGTAAACTTACATCGTCCCTCACGTTGATTTCCTTTTCATAGTTTTTGACTGGTAACACGTGACTCCTCGGTACACCAAGGATATTAGAAACTGTATCAACAAGCTCTTGTATTGCAACGCTCTGAAATACTGTGGACACATCTTCCTCTACATTTGAGCAGACTTTGTCGATTTTAGTTACTAGGACTACTTGCGATAAACCTATAGTAAATCAATAACAAAAGCATGATTATAGAATTCGTCACAATACATTGACATTTAATAAATGAGAAGTTAAATGATAACATGTTCTACAATGATGGCAATTTCGCAGAGCTGCTATGAAATAAGTTTTAATGACAAAAACGTGTTTGGTAAACACGGATGCCCCGACCAGGATTCGTGTCAGTAACAGACTTTCAAAAACATTTTACCCATTCAATCCGTTTTGGACGGAAACACTGCCAAACAAATTGTAAAGACAGAATCAGGACCGTTTGTTATAATTGTGAGAAATATAAGTTGGCATGTCGTTGCTATTTGATGAAGTTGAAAATTGTTCAACTCATCAAAGGTTTATACATGCACGACCTTGACCTTGAACCAAGTGACCACAAACTCCGCCCAAACTTTAAGGACCACCTGAAGTATGTTCCTTCTAAATGTGAGATATTGGTGAAAAAATAAAGGTTGTATAATAAAAAGTGTACGAAAACAATCTATTGTTAGCACCTTGTGACCTTATCTTCCTTCCAAATATGGAAAACGTCAGTCATTAATAAAGGCTGTATAAGCAAATGTGTTGAAATCTATCAAAGACATCCTTGATCAAAATGACCTTGTACTAAATCCAAAGGAAGCATGTCATGTCAGTAATCTTCCTACCAAATATGAAAGATGTCTGTCAAGAAATAAAGGCCATATGACCAAGTATGTAAAAATCTATTTTTAGCATTGGTGACAGAACAGACAGGACAAGATATATCCAACTTGAAGGTTTAGGTTAATCCTATTCATTTTAAAAGAGAAGAAAAGGGCACTAACTAAGAAAAAAACATAGTTATGTAACTTGCCAAAATCATATACTTTGAATTGATTAGTAAATGTGTAAATTATGGTGCAATTGGTACAGGCAGAACTTAAATTCAACTTGCCGTTTTAGGTTAACCTCGTATGGACAGACGGACGGACGGTTCAATTATTGGAGATAATGAGAATGACATATAACGAGAAAATGATATTAAAATAATTACCGTTTTAAAGTTGTAAAATTTAGGGAAATCGTAAAATTATTGCATTATAAATCCTTTGTACATGTTGTATATTTCTGCAATTAAAATCAAAATATCAAGTATTATATAAATTATTTTGAGACACAAACACTTTTGACTTTACAGATAATAATTTACAAATGACACTAAGGTATTTAATAATTGTATCCCATTTAACATTTGTTGGTGGTTACAATAAAGTCTAAAACAAACTTTTATTTAATCCGTTATATCATACCTTTTTGTCGAACTTTACTCTGGAGGGCCTTAATCTTTTCTAACATTTTCTCTGACATTACTGACGCTGTGCTACCATCTATTATAAAGCAAACACAATGAATTTTGTGGTTCAATGTCGGTGAGGCAACAAATCCAGTTGTGTCTGGGGAAATCGGGGTTGATGGATTAAACTGAAATAAAACATTTTGATAAGTTTTTTGATTAAACAAAAATCAACAAGAAATACTATATACTATATTGTTTATAAACAGGTACCCTGAAAGTAAATACACGTGACCTTTTTGAAGAAATAAAATGTGCTGAGATCTAAAATGAACGAAAATGTAATTGTAATGTACATGAGGTAATATAAAAGATATTTATATGTTTAGACATCAAAGATGAATTTATCATTACGAAATTATTACACAACGAGTGCACCTTTATAATCGAGGATTATCTGAACTTTAACTTATCAAACCTGGTATCCATTTGGTACATTTCCCTCCAAAAGGTAATTAAGCTCTGTGCCATCCATACCTTGATTTTCTTCAATCCCTCTGGTGTCACATAGCCTAAATTTCATTGGTTTTGTCAGAGCGGAACCTCGCACACGATACATGCGGTACTGTAAATAAATAAATAGTAAGGATAATTAATTGTGTTATATAAAATTATTGCAGAGGCACATTATACCATAAGATGGATAAATCTGAAAGGCTGACAACTATATCAAGGTACCAAAAATAACGAAATTGTTTCATAGCATTTTGAGATTTGTTTAACCTTTAACCAACAACATAACCTACACACAACCTCTCCGTAAGGCACTGTCAGCGTTCCTTCCCTTAACCCTTAACAAGAACACTGTCGAGACGATACAAATGTTAACGTACGCATGCAAATTGTTTTTATTAATCAAGAATAACCTTAAAATTAGAAAGCAGACTCATTCATTACACCTCTCCGGAATATGTCTATATTTAAGACCCATTATGTCCATGAAACGCATTTATCTTTATTTCCAAAACAATTATTATGTTTTGGTCTTCCAAAAAGTAACTAATTGACCAATTATCTGAACCACCTTTTTTCTTTAATTTGTTACCCTTTGGCAAATAGTAAAGTTATAGTGATTAAGTATTTAGTATGGAAGTAAAAATACTACATTGTTAACAATTTGCTACTTTTATGACAAATAAATTCAAATTAAGTGCTACCATCGTCACGTTATAAGCATCTATCATCTGAAACGATTATTTCAACGTTATAAATTTCATATTTCGTTTCTAAGGAAATAAATATTTTTTCGTTTTCTGAGTAGTAACTATCATAATTATGGTAAGTGATATTACATGTCAAATATCTGCATACTGTAAGTTGGAGGAAAAGACTTTTAAGAATTCTTTACTCTATAAATCCACGTACATGTAATTTGAGTGCCAATTGTACACCAGGGTAATAATTTTGTAATTATGTAGGGGTTTTCAAGGCAATGATACATGCCAAATATCTAAGCTCTTGGCATTGTAATTTCAGATATTTTGAAAATTTCAGTTTACCTTCGATGTAATACTCTGTTCCGCACTACCGCAAACAGCCTGTCCAGTCACATGACCTCGAAATATTGAAGAAATTGTATTGAAGAAACTGGATTTACCGGCACCAACCGGACCCAGAAAAAGAATGTTTGCTGTTTTCAGTTTAATTCCATGTGGGGGTGTCCACGCATCAATTTCGTTTTTCAAATCTTCTAAATCCTGACAAAGGGGTATTAATAAAAGCATATATCAAAACCAAATAAATTAATTAATACGTAAAGAAGTACAAATTGCGCACATTTACATCAACTTTTTTTCAAACACAGGTAAATGTTACTTTATTTAATATTGTATTTGAATATGTCAAACAGTTTAAGGATATCTCTTTCAATTTTTTATTAGAAATTCAGGAAAGAACTTGAATGTTAACAGAAATGCATGAGCAAATCAACTTAGTGCTTTACCCGATGTTCCCAACCTCCAATCTCTCTCCAGGGTGGTAATAACGATGTATCTGTCCAATTAAAATCCGACATACTTTTTTATCAAATAGACAATCAACTTAATAATATATATCTATATAAAAAGGTAACATAATACTTATTTACATAATTCGTAAGCATATCTTGTACTGTTATTTTTGCTACCAATAATGCTATATTTAGATACAATACTTTTATAAATCATTTCGTTAAAATTGTCGTTATTGAAAACGATAAAAATATTTATAAATCGAAGGAAAAACGTTTATTTTCAATAGAATGATTTGATGGGACACTTACCAGACACGCTGTAAACCTCTAAGTCTGTGACTGTTTTGATGTTGTTACAAAACTGCTCTATAGAACATGAACCCATGTCGTATGCACTGCCAAAATTAAATCCTCCGTTTAGAGTGAACTGATTGGTTTGAATGGGAAGGGTTCCACTAAAGGTGTTCACGTCATATCCTCCTCCAAATATCGGTCCATTAGTGTTACAGCAGTAAATGGCATTATCTGGCTTTTTCACTGGAAATTTCATCGGATTACTTTTGCCATTTTGATAAAGACGAAACAGGAAAGCATGATCATCTCTATAGTATTTCCCGCCCTCTGAAGTCCAACTTATCTCTGTGTAGCCTCCGTACACTGTACCTTGAGTGTTATAAATGACAGTAACTGTTGGGCCTTGTTTGTCGCAAAGTCGATGGAAAACTGATGCATCTGCACCATCCCTGGTAAAGCTGTATAGCAAGCCAAACTGTTTGGGACCCGCTTGTATATAACGTTCTAGTTGCTTTTTATCAGCAATTGAAAGTTTGCCTGCCATTTTACCTGTTGAATACAAAAATCAACTTCGCTTGATAAGTAAGTTCGATAATAGAGCAAACATAAACAAGAGATGTCGGTAGGACAGCAACGCTCGACTATCTTAGTGCTTGATAGTAAAAGGGCCTTGATAATGTAAAATTTTCTAAGTTTACAAAAGAGCAAAATTTTTCTTTAAATCCATGTTACAGTTATAGGCCTTGGAGAGAGTCCTATTACACTCACAAAGAAGAGTATAATATTTCAACTTATTTCAAAGCCAGATGTCAATAGAATATGAAAATATCTGAGGTGGTATGCTAACTTGTACATAAATTCTAAGTCGAAAAAGGGGCATAATTCTGTCAAAATGCTTGATACAGTTACCTCCTCCTGTCTATAGGTTGGGGTCATGATGGTGAACAAGTGTGCAAAGTTTCAAAGCCATATGTCAATGGACTTTGAAAATATTTGAGGTATTACAAAAACTTTAACGTAATTTCTAAGTTGAAAAAGGGGCATAATTTTGTCAAAATGCTTGATACAGTTACCTCCTCCTGTCTACAGATTGGGGTCATGATGGTGAACATGTGTGCAAAGTTTCAAAGCCATATGTCATTGAACTTTGAAAATATTTGAGGTATTTCAAAAACTTTAACATTAGTGGTTAGGCCGACGCGGACGCGGACGCCGACGCTCGGGTGACTACAATAGCTCTACTTATTCTTATCGAATAGTCGAGCTAACAAATGAAAAGACTCCAGTCGACCCCAAAGTAGCTAAATGCCTAAAATGTTTGTGCTTTGTTTGATTTATCTGTTGTACATTATATTTGTGGTGATGGTGTTCGTACTTTTCACTCCGGATCATGGCAGTAGGCCACATTGAATTAACCAGAGCACAGTTCTGCCACCGCATCATTCCTGGACAAGCTGTCCAGCAGTTAACCAGTACTAGTTGCCTTCACTATTTGTGTTCGATGTACAGGTTGTACATTATATTTGTGTTTCATGTATATGTTGTAAAATGTATTTGTGTTCGATGTACCTATTATATATTATATTTGTGTTTGATGTATATTTTGTACATTATATTTGTCTTCGATTTTCATGTTGAAAATTATATTTGTGTTCAATGTACATGCTGTACATTATATTTCAGTTAGACGTACTTGTAAGTTGTTCAATATTTTTGTGTTCGATGTTTATGTTGTACATTATATTTGTGTTCGATGAACTTGTTGTACATTATATTTGTGTTTGATGTACCTTTTGTACATTATATTTGTGTTTGATGTACATGCTGTACATCATATTTGTGTTTGATGTACATATTGTGCATTATATTTGTGTTTGATGTACATATTGTACATTATATTTGTGTTCGATGTTTATGCTGTACATTATATTTTAGTTCGATATACACGTTGAATATCATATTTTTGTTCGATTAATATGTTGAACATCATATTTCTGTTCGATGAACATCTGTACATCATATTTGTGTTTGGTGTAAATGCTGTACAAGTGAATTGATATACATGTATGGTTCTGGTTTATATTTTGACGGAGCAGACGACAAATTCGACTTTAAACTTCAAAGGATCTTTATCGACAGCCTATGTAAACCTCATAATTAATGGTTTGAGATTTTTAGTGAGCAGATATTGAATACAAATGCCTGAAATCTATTGTGGCTATTTTCTACAATGAAACGAAAATATTAACGTTTCTCTTTCCGTCGCGTTGTCGCATCTGTGGGACGCACGGGCGAAAGTACGATACAGCGCCAAATGTAACGCGACAATACGCCTAATAGACCTTTCTATCTTAAGGACTTCGTAATACGGAATAAATTGGGGGATTTTCTCAAAACATAAATGATAAAATTTATACATGTATATGCTAGTTATAGTATTTCTATCAACGATCAACACATGTAGACAATATAACCATTATTTATATAAAAACCAAATAAATAATAACAAACAAACGAACAAAACAGTACAAATTTCTTCATTTACGAGGGTTGTTCGGGAAGTTCTGGGAATTTTGTCATATCTCCTATATTTTTTGTTTCTAAGACGTAATATTTTGCACATACTAAGATTAGCATATCACGGAACTATTCCTAAAACTTGAATAGAATCAGACAACAATAGCCGGAAACAGCAGTAACCATAGCAACACTATAACGCCGCACCGGAGAAGTCCGACTCTAAAGAAAGGTATAACGCGCTACACTAATAGAGGATATTGAATGAGTGTAAGTTCAATACTGAATTTATTGCACGAGTTGAATAAAATCATATTATGCGAGCCTCTGGCGAGCATAATATTATTTTATTCAACGAGTGCAATAAATTCAGTAATGAACTTACACGAATTTAATATTCTATTTATCACATACCCAAAATAAAGATCGTTTAAAGTGAAATAAGAGTCATTTTTCATTGACGCGCCTATAGTATAACGCTAACATTTAGCGCGTCTTTACACCATGTTTGTATAACACTAATGACGTCACGTCAAAATATATGCACGGCCGTGCAATACCATATTTACGGAGTCGCAAAATCGGCACGGGTGTGTGATAAATAATATTTCGTAATTTTGATAACGTAAAAAATGCGCGAAAACGCTGGTCAGCAGCGGAACGTCATGACGTCATTTCCTTAAATATAATAACGTTATTTAAATTCTCAACGGATCAACATTGTTTTAAAGTTGTTGCCCAGAGCCACTGAGTAAACAACATGACGTCGATAGGTGACGTTGAATTGCGAAGCATCGTGAAATTTTGTGTTGCGCTGGAAAAGTCTTCCACAGAAACAATGAAAATGATCAATTCTACAGGAAAATACAAGAAATGCAGTCCGGCTACAGTGTATAGATGGCATGCTCGTTTTAAAGAAGGAAGAAACCCTCCATACAGCCCGGACCTCGCTCCGATGGACTTCCGTGTGTTCCCGGAGCTCAAATCACAGCTGCGTGGAAAACGCTTTGACTCAGCTGACGATCTTGTTAAGCATACGCAAGCTATAGTTTCGTCATTTATCGATAGCTGGTACGTGGAAACATACAATAAGTGGATCAGCCGACACAGGAAATGCATCGAAATTGCAGGTGACTACGTTGAAAAGGTGCGACGATCGATGGACTTTAACGTTGCATAACGTTGCAAATGACGTCGGCGTGCTCCGGGTGTTTGTTATATGGTTATTTACTATTTTTATTATGTTTTAGTTTCTGTGTGTATGATGATGATATTTTCAGATACTGTACAGTATATATTGAAATAAATGTGTATATATTTATATTTACGCTAACCCGACTACAACGTGTGCTATAAAACAATTCTCAGAACTTCCCGAACAACCCTCGTATAAATATAACTCAATTGTAGTGTTATTTTTTCAACCAATGACCAAGACGTGATTTTTTCAAGATATACTAGTAAGTGTTGGTACATGGTGTGGTAGCAGGACTAAACGTAAATGTCATTATATGTATAATATGCAGTAACGCTTCAGTGGGAACTGTACGAAATCTCGAGTGTTAGAATTATACAAAGGTCGCCATCTGAATTCACAATAACTTATGGAAGTGACAGTATCAAGAATAGAATTGTTGCAATAGATGCAACATCACACGAAATAGTGCGACCGCACTATTTCGTGTGATGTTGCATCTATTGCAGCAACACTTTATCCCAGCCGCCACGTTTACTTAACCATTGATCTATGGTTGGCCAAATGATGTAATTCACAAATGTTGTGTGGAATGCAAGTATACATGTGCGAATTTCAACATGTACATAGGCGGTGCATACATTGAATATGGTGACAAGTGTTACAATTAAGTGTTGGTAAACAACGTATCCATATCACAAACAATATAATTATATTTACTGAAGACAGTTTATGGCGACTGTAATTTCTAAGTCTATGACATATCTAAAAACGTTGCTGGTGCTTTACAATTTAGATTATAGAAATTGTACATATTTTCCGAGAAAATTTGGAAAAACGTTTCTTTCGGAATATATAATCGAATCATTTGAAAACAAACGGTTGCGAATATCTAGTACAGAGTCTTGAGGTAGCATCATTACAGCAATTAAACATGACCGTGAATTGCGGGGATTGAACTAAAGAAGGAAGTGATGCTATAAGTAGCATCCGCCTGCCAATGTAGGTTCATTCTGAAAAATCTAAATATAATGCAAAAGTATAGTGTTGCAGCGAAAAGTAGCACAATTGTTGTCTAACATAACAAATATGTTAACGACACACTTGTAATAGCAACTGACAGGTTTTCCCACTCAAAGGTATCATTGTAAGAAAATCGGCAATTTTTTAGGACCTCAGGTTTATTGTTAGCCGGTATAGCATATGTACTATTATTGTATAATTCTAACGCTCGAGAATTTCGTGCAATTTCACACTGAAGCGTTGCTGCATTTTATACATACTTTAGTAACAGAGATATTTATACAAATATACATACGACGATGATGTTGGAGTAGGTAACAGAGCTCCGCAGACGGTCTACGTCAGAAAACATTACAGGTTGACAACAATAACGATAAGAGAGCAGTTTAAGACCAAGTTCAGCACCTAGTGCCGGCTGTTTCAAGTGTGCAGCAGGTCAACGTAATCGATAGGGGGATAAGGCGCTCCGCTCCCTTGGAAATCAAATAAGAGAAATCAGGCTCTCTAATTTGTTTTTCCAAAACTACTCTATGACCTTGGCGTCAGCAGTGATGACATTTACCTTTAGCCCTGCTTTCACAACACTCAAAACTAAATGCCATGTTGGTCTTTGGTTAAAAATTAGCTCTACAAAAAAGTCTACCAATTAAGAAACTTTTATTTTATTTTTATTTTTATTTTTGTTCTCTGTTTAAATAAATTATATTTATAATCTTTAATATGTTGATATGTTGAAATCGTTGCATCACAGTTTTACCTAACTGCTCATTTTATTTAATTTCCGCGCATTTATGTATTGAGAAAATCCCTTAAC